GTATTTGGCATGATGCTGCTAAACGATATCCAACCATTAAAAAAGAATGTTTAGCAATTGTTAAATGTGTCTTAAAATTCCAGGATGATTTATTAAATCAAGAATTTTTAATTCGTGTTGATTGTTCTGCTGCCAAACAAGTTTTCAAAAAAGACGTTGAAAATTTAGCTCAAAAACAAATTTTTGCTTCCTGGCAAGCTGCTCTTTCTGCTTTTGATTATGACATTGAATATATCAAGGGAGAAAATAATTCTCTTCCTGATTTTCTGACTCGTGAATATTTACAGACCTCTCATGCAAAATCGGGGTAGAGGTCCGGGCCGTCGTGGCCGTGGACGTGGATTCCCGCCTCCACCTACAGACTTTCCTTCCCTCCTGGGAAGTTACAGTAATAAAGGGGAATCTAGCCAATCGGTTAAAGATGTCCTCCTTACTCCAGATACTTATTTCCAGAATTCTATTACTGAAGAAACTGTTCTTTATATTGATACAGCTGATATCCAATGGGTTTCTGATCCATGGGAGGTTAAGAAACGCTATCTTGCCACCCAAAATAGCCCTCCACATTTGGATACTTACCGATATGTTTATGAACAAATTCTGACTGAATTAGCTTCTGTCCAATTCCAGCATCATTATGCCGATTCTAATCGTACTGCCAGTCCAATTAATTACAGTAAAGCTACCATCCAGTCCATCATGCCCATTCAAGCCTGGGGTATTCATCCTCATGTTACCCGTAGTCTTGATATCCGTTCTAAAGAGGTTCGTTACAGCTATTGGGATTATATTACTGCTTTTACCCAGACTTTTTATTATATGAACCCTCCTCGGTCTCATTCCTGGTTCTTCCGGGTTCTTCCTGATGTTCTCAAAAATGATCTCCCCTCCTGGTTTCTCATTTGGTGGGATACTTTTGGGTTACAGCTTGACGCTTTTCCAGATTATGTTCGCTTGGCCTTTAATGAATGGCAAGCCGGTTTCTGTCTCCTTCCTGTTAATAAAACCATTTCCATGTCTAAATGTCTCGTGCATTTTGTTATTCGCTTCAGTATTCCTTGGATATGGAAATGGGATTTCCAGTGCGATTTCCAGAATAAAGTTCCCCGTTTAAAAAGAGTTTTCTTTTATAAATGGTGGAAACAGATGGATGATGCAAAAAATAAGCAAGACTTGCTCCAGCGAATCAACGAACATACTCAATCCTGCCTAGATGCCTGTCCAAAAACAACTCCAGTCATTCCTGCCAATCCTTTTATCCAAATCCAGCAAGAGCTTCGACGTAAATATCCAGAAATCACAGAGGAAGAACTTGTGGCTAAAAGTATGGATTTCATGAAGCAACAATTTCTGGAGTCCATGGCCCCTCGTGACTCTAGTATGAAGTCAACCTCCAGTGAAGGTGAAAAAACTCAACCTGACCCATATTCAGATGACGACAATGCATTCACACCCCTTGCAGGCGAATCCCAAGACCCGAATGAAGATCCATCTGACCCAGATTTTGGAGATATTTGGGACTCCGTGACAGAACTAATTACCGACAAACTGGTACGGGCCAAAGGAAAAGGAAAACAAAATGACAAATAATGAGTCTGGGCCACCAGTCCTATTCTGTCTACCATCTACTTTCCAGCATCACTAGTGGCCAAATAACTTTCGGTGCATAATGAAGCCCCTTTATCTACTTTTCTTAAAGTAGATTCTTTGCCGACAAAGCCAAAGATAAGAGGATAAGGATGATCGACTGCAAACCATTCAGCACACGCCACCTGTCCTTGTTATCTGTTCAGTTTGTAATATAAATATGTAGCCCTTGGATTGTAAGAGGCACCACTAGAACAATTTTATTTTCTCGTTTAAAAACTCTGTACTCTCTCTCTCTCTCTCTCTCTCTCTCTCTATTTTCAGTGTGAAGCTTTTGAAGCATAGTAATAATATCTCTGCTGGTTTAAGTAAGTTCTCTCTCTATGTATGTCTGTATATGATCTCATCCTTTTGCATGATATTTTAGCATTTCATAACGAACGAAAGAATAATTTCATAAATACATATCTTGCATTGTGGCCTAATGATCCTTGGGCAAAACAAGAATTATTAGAAATAAATAGATTGATTGCCCTAACTGAAAATCAAATACAGGAAGCCATCATCGCAGCCACAAGGGCTAATCGCCCTCCTCCTACAGATTAGTTTATTCATGGACCATATATGATGTAATTAAATTAAAATAATGTAGGATTATTTTTTATATTATTCCTGGATTTGTGCCATGTAAGGGTTAGCAAATATGTTATAGGTTAGTGGGACGTCACGCAAGTCGCGTAGCCTTGGTTGTCCAAAAGAAGCAGTAAGCTGGTTAGGACTAGTTGGCATAAGTCGTTGACAGACGTGCTAATCTGTAACCCCTGTGCGTAGCACTCTTATTGGTATCAGAGCCATGTTTAATATACGTTATAATCCATGTTATTTTTATTTAATTAGTCATATATGGTCACATACATAACAATGAGTAACGAATCTTCTGAAATCAATTCTGCTGTCACAAATATTGGGGCTTCTACATCAGAGGCTCGTGAGTTAGTTGCATACCAGGATGTGAAGGATGCCTTAGATAAGTGGACTATTCCTAAGGTAGATCCAAACACTATTTACAAACACAGAATTAAAACCTTTTTCAGTAAAACTTTAATAAAAACTTTTGAACATGCTGCTCCAGTTGATAATAATGATACACTCATGTATTTATTAAATATCCAGGATTTAATGCCTTTTTTCAAAGATTATAAATATGTTCATATAGGGCTTGTCCAGATTGCCTTAAAACCTTTGACCCTTCTTGGTCAAAATACTAGCATGCAGTGTACACTCCGAGATGGTCGTTGCCTCAACTGGCGTGCATCTCTTATGGGTGCAATGGAAACCAGTCTGTCCCATGGTCCAGTCTACTTTGACATTTATCCTAATCTGAGTATTGCTCTTTCAGACCAAAATTTATCTAAAGTTTTAGAATTCAGAATTCTTACGAATGGATATGAATATATGTCTGGTTCTCCTCCCTTTTCTGTCATATCTCGAATTTATCTTAAAGTCTTAACTACTTTAAATCCATATGTAAGGAGAAAAGGAACTAATGGTGAAACTGTTTTAATTGATACCAACCTTTACAGTAGCCAAGTTGCCGTACCTAAATTATTAGAATGGGATAAAATTACTTTTCCTGAACAATGGAAAATCACAAATGCTGTTCCTTCCCGTCCCCTTATCAAACATAATTTAGATGAAATAATCCAAACCAGGCAAGGAGATGTCTTTCTCCAATTCCAGAAACCACCAGTTAAATTACATCGTAGTATGTCTAGTACTAGTTTTCGAACTACCCCTAGCCATCAACCTTACAAAGTTGATTATCCAGAATCTTCCAGACAATCCTTTGCTGAACCTCCGGATGCTATAATTCAAGGTAATCCTTCCAGATCTCATTCTAGACCTACTTCGGATGAACCAAACGAACCAGATCAAGATCCGATAGTTAGAGGTGTTCAATATTCTGAGCAACGGATTCCACATGGGATTTATGAATCACCAATCCCTCTAGTTCGACGTGAATCCAGAAGAGGCTCGTTAAGCCCTACCGCTAGTGACATGGATTTTAGAATTTAATGGATTTTACACCTGGTAGTATAAATCGTAAATTCTTAAATCAAGAATTTTTACAGGAAAAATATTCTGATTTTCGTAAGTGGTATTTTGCAAATCATACTCCAAACCAACTAAAAGATTATAAATTACAGTATTATTTTTACCTGGAAGAAATTCAGGCTTTATACCCTTTTCCGCTTTGGTATAAATCAAATGTCCAGCCTTCTGCCGCGCATATACAGGTCCTTGAAGAATTCCAGCAAAAATGGGTTACTACTGATGGGCGAACAATAGTCAATATTCATCCTCCAACCCAGCCATTAGAACTCCAACCAACCAATACTCAGACTTCCACCTCTAATGGTAAGCCCATGGTAATTGCTGCCTTTTCTGATATGCCACACCGTACCCAAAATAAGGATCCTGTCTTAATCCAAGATTTTACCACAATTCTAAAACAGAATAATTATACCAATTTATTCTGCCAGATTGCTGGAAAGCAGCTTACTCGCATTGAAGAAATGGTATCTCATGTTAAGAAAAGCTGCAAATTGGAACCTAAACCTCCTATTCTAACTGATCCTGTTTTTATCAAACCATCTCCAGTTTTGAAAGATTTTAATTTAAAACCCAAAGCTGATACTGATTTCATGGAAACTATTCTGTCCCAAATCCGTGATTTAAAATTTGTTCATAAACATATCGGTAAGTATCCAAATGTGGAGGGCTATTTTGGGTGGCAAGATAGCGTTTCTTAACCTCCCATGGATCAGAAACCCATTGGACATCAGCTGTATCAATCACTAGAGCTCAGTGTGCTAACTGTTCAGGGCATTTGTCCTGTTGTGCATTTGTTCCAGCCTAAAGCTGTTGTGTGTTTTTTTTTTTTTGGTTGCCTTGGATTGTAGAATCCCCTAAATGGTCACACTTCTAAACATTCTTTTTTGATCTTGATAATGGTGGAAACAGTTAGCAATGTTCATACATGGACATTGACACTATTTTAAGAACTTTGGAGACATTATGAAGGAAAAATGCTATTAAATGCAATCTTTAAGACATTAGATTAGTCAAGGCTTTGGTTTGTTGTACTAGACTAATTGAACTACTTGCCAAGCATCATTTCCTTTCTTGTTTTCATGTGTCAATCTTACTTTAAAAAAAAGAAAGAAAGTGATTTGCATAAAAAATCTGGACACATTATTATTTTTTGTAAGCTGTGTTTTTGTGGCTGTTGTGACTGTTGGTCTTTTTCAGGTTCTTGAGATCTTGGAACTATATAGATGCATATATGAAGAATACTTGGCTATTCCTGTTATAAAGGGCAAGAAAAGTGAACATGAGAAGTTTGCAGGTGGACTTTATACAACTAGTGTTGAGGTAGCTAATATGTACACCTAAGCGATCTAGCCTTCATCTATCACTCAACAATTTTCCTCTAATTGTGCTTTAGTTTTAAATGGTTGGACTGTTTTATTAATGTGTGTGTGTAATGTTCGACAGGCTTTTATTCCGAACACTGGCCGTGGTATCCAAGGTGCAACTTCACATTGTTTGGGCCAAAATTTTGCAAAAATGTTTGAGATAAATTTTGAAAATGAGAAAGGTGAAAAGACTATGGTCTGGCAGAATTCCTGGGCATACAGTACTAGAACGGTAAAACAATTATGCTTTCTCTTATTTGTTTGAGATATATTGTTGTCAGAAAACTAAAATTAGATTTCTCTGTAGTATGTGTACTGCATAATATACTGCATTTTCCTAGGTATTCGAATGTTTTATGTTAATACACTAAAATGTGATATTCAACTATTCTTTATTGTCTGGTTTAGAATATGAAGACAACATCACTTAATAGTTAATTCTGATGGTAGAGTCATGGGTAACTTCTGTTATTGCGGAGTGTGCAATGAATAATCCAGTTTGTCCCTGTAATACTTCGTTCTCTCTGTGCAGGATTAAAATAGTTTGGTTCTTAAAGAAAATATTTGGTTACTGCCCATCACTGTGCGAGTTTGGTTAGTTGTTGGTTGCAGGTCTTAGGTTTCACAGTGATCGGTTTACATTTGCCTATGATTTTTGTAATATTTTCTAATTAGTTCAATATTTCGCAGAGAACTTCCTTAAAAGTTCTACATTTGGTCACATACGGTGTTTGGTTAGTTCATTTCTTTTTAACATGAACTATTCATGAGTAATTCTAACTTGGAAAACCCTTCTCAACTTTTCTCTATGTATTTCATTCTACTAATATAGATTTATCAGGAAAAATAAAAAATAAAAAAAATATAGATTTAGAAAAGTACCCTGCCTCCCTTTCTTTTTAGTTGGATGTTGATGTTTTGTGCAAGCCTAGAATTTCTTTGTTGTTTTTTTCTTATTGAAATAATAAGTGTTTTGAGAAGTCCTTGGAATTTGTGCATTAGGTAATTATTGGAATCCACTTCATGGTTCCAATTTGGTTTCACTGATGCAATTTAGTCCACTCCATGGTAAACCACTTGTTGACCATTTAATTCAGTAACTAACCAGTTGCACTGATGCAATTCAATTGCAACTTAATGATTTGTCACAATATAAAACTATTAAAATAGTATGAGACTTGGATTTTGGGACTTTGAATTGTTGAAATTCTGCATTTTTGTTTAGCTTGATGTAGTTCTTTAGTCATTATCTCTGCTTATCATATACTACAATTGATGAATAGAATTACGTTCTTATTGTACAAAAAGAAACACACACCCAATAAAAAAAAGAAAAAGAGCTTGATTATGATTGAAGTTACATATTATTGGCAACATTTTAGTGTGTGAAGGTCATGGTTTTGCAGTCTCGAGGCATGCTTATGTTGATCTGGTTCTGTAACTTGTATTCTCACAGATCTTAACTTTGATTTGTGGTGCTTTGTATTTCTGCTGGACAATATTTTTGGGTGTAATGGATTTTAATAGGTGCCTACAAAATCTTTAATTACGAATGTGCTATTTTTGGAGCAAACATTTCCTCTGAAAGTTTGCCTTGGTCATGTTACTGTTCTGTTATAGTTATTTTGTAGAGGGCATCCTAGGAATAAAATAAAGTTAAGTTGAAATGCATTCTCTTATCTTAGCATTTCCTTTCATAACATTTGCTAATTAGTGAGCCAAGTTGCGGATGATGTGGTGCCAAGCCAAGAATTGGCGCCTTAACCAGGTAAATGAGTATACAGATTGAGGTATTCTTTACAAATTTGGTGCAGAACATTGACAGCACACTTTAAAAGACATTAATCTCAGTTAGTGAAACTTGAAAGGATTGAAAGGGGTGGATGCAAATGGTTATGAAATTTCTTGATAGAATGGAAGCTATTTACGTGTTAAAAATATAATTCTTCTTCTTCTTTCTAGTGTCTTGGCATATAAGAAATTTCCTGGAAGAACGGATGGAGATAAACTGGAGGGAATGAGTCATTTGCTAAAAAAGCATTGTTGTCTGGTATATGGTAATGTTGCCCAACCAATAATGGACCTCATTTCAAATGGCAGTAAAAGTGCCAAGTTGCATATTTTTTCTTTTGTGTTTGTGCAAATTTATTTTAGAAATATGCTTCCACTGGCACACGGGAATATTTTTTTCCCCAGCAAGTGGTATAAGAGCTTTAGGTGGGTTTATTTTTTCCAATAAGAGTAAGTTTAGTATAAGAGGTAACTTGACTTTGAAATTATATTAAGCTCTACATAGACTTGGGGTTGACTAGACATGTCTGTATTTACTACCCAGCTCTGTCTTGGGCCATAATCTGCTTTAAATCATAAACGATGGACTTTGGATAAGCATAAGTGGACATTCTTTAACTCATGTGAGAGATCTTGGAACTATATAGATGCATATATGAAGAATACTTGGCTATTCCTGTTATAAAGGGCAAGAAAAGTGAACATGAGAAGTTTGCTGGTGGACTTTATACAACTAGTGTTGAGGTAGCTAATATGTACACCTAAGCGATCTAGCCTTCATCTATCTCTCAACAATTTTCCTCTAATTGTGCTTTAGTTTTAAATGGTTGGACTGTTTTATTAATGTGTATGTGTAATGTTCGACAGGCTTTTATTCCGAACACTGGTCGTGGTATCCAAGGTGCAACTTCACATTGTTTGGGCCAAAATTTTGCAAAAATGTTTGAGATAAATTTTGAAAATGAGAAAGGTGAAAAGACTATGGTCTGGCAGAATTCCTGGGCATACAGTACTAGAACGGTAAAACAATTATGCTCTCTCTTATTTGTTTGAGATATATTGTTGTCAGAAAACTAAAATTAGATTTCTCTGTAGTATGTGTACTGCATAATATACTGCATTTTCCTAGGTATTCGAATGTTTTATGTTAATACACTAAAATGTGATATTCAACTATTCTTTATTGTCTGGCTTAGAATATGAAGACAACATCACTTAATAGTTAATTCTGATGGTAGAGTCATGGGTAACTTCTGTTATTGCGGAGTGTGCAATGAATAATCCAGTTTGTCCCTGTAATACTTCGTTCTCTCTGTGCAGGATTAAAATAGTTTGGTTCTTAAAGAAAATATTTGGTTACTGCCCATCACTGTGCGAGTTTGGTTAGTTGTTGGTTGCAGGTCTTAGGTTTCACACTGATCGGTTTACATTTGCCTATGATTTTTGTAATATTTTCTAATTAGTTCAATATTTCGCAGAGAACTTCCTTAAAAGTTCTACATTTGGTCACATATGGTGTTTGGTTAGTTCATTTGTTTTTAACATGAAATATTCATGAGTAATTCTAACTTGGAAAACCCTTCTCAACTTTTCTCTATGTATTTCATTCTACTAATATAGATTTATCAGGAAAAATAAAAAATAAAAAAAATATAGATTTAGAAAGGTACCCTGCCTCCCTTTCTTTTAGTTGGATGTTGATGTCTTGTGCAAGCCTAGAATTTCTTTGTTGTTTTTTTCTTATTGAAATAATAAGTGTTTTGAGAAGTCCTTGGAATTTATGCATTAGGTTATTATTGGAATCCACTTCATGGTTCCAATTTGGTTTCACCGATGCAATTTAGTCCACTCCATGGTAAACCACTTGTTGACCATTTAATTCAGTAACTAACCAGTTGCACTGATGCAATTCAATTGCAACTTAATGATTTGTCACAATATAAAACTATTAAAATAGTATGAGACTTGGATTTTGGGACTTTGAATTGTTGAAATTCTGCATTTTTGTTTAGCTTGATGTAGTTCTTTAGTCGTTATCTCTGCTTATCATATACTACAATTGATGAATAGAATTACGTTCTTATTGTACAAAAAGAAACACACACCCAATAAAAAAAAGAAAAAGAGCTTCATTATGATTGAAGTTACATATTATTGGCAACATTTTAGTGTGTGAAGGTCATGGTTTTGCAGTCTCGAGGCATGCTTATGTTGATCTGGTTCCGTAACTTGTATTCTCACAGATCTTAACTTTGATTTGTGGTGCTTTGTATTTCTGCTGGACAATATTTTTGGGTGTAATGGATTTTAATAGGTGCCTGCAAAATCTTTAATTACGAATGTGCTATTTTTGGAGCAAACATTTCCTCTGAAAGTTTGCCTTGCTCATGTTACTGTTCTGTTATAGTTATTTTGTAGAGGGGCATCCTAGGAATAAAATAAAGTTAAGTTGAAATGCATTCTCTTATCTTAGCATATCCTTTCATAACATTTGCTAATTAGTGAGCCAAGTTGAGGATGATGTGGAGCCAAGCCAAGAATTGGCGCCTTACCAGGGAAATGAGTATACAGATTGAGGTATTCTTTACAAATTTGGTGCAGAACATTGACAGCACACTTTAAAAGACATTAATCTCATTTGGTGAAACTTGAAAGGATTGAAAGGGGTGGATGCAAATAGTTATGAAATTTCTTGATAGAATGGAAGCTATTTACATGTTAAAAATATAATTCTTCTTCTTCTTTCTAGTGTCTTGGTATATAAGAAATTTCCCGGAAGAACGGATGGAGATAAACTGGGGGGAATGAGTCATTTGCTAAAAAAGCATTGTTGTCTGGTATATGGTAATGTTGCCCAACCAATAATGGACCTGATTTTCTCTTGAAATGGCAGTAAAAGTGCCAAGTTGCATATTTTTTCTTTTGTGTTTGTGCAAATTTATTTTAGGCATATGCTTCCACTGGCACACGGGAATATTTTTTTCCCCAGCAAGTGGTATAAGAGCTTTACGTGGGTTTATTTTTTCCAATAAGAGTAAGTTTAGTATAAGAGGTAACTTGACTTTGAAATTATATTAAGCTCTACATAGACTTGGGGTTGACTAGACATGTCTGTATTTACTACCCAGCTCTGTCTTGCGCCATAATCTGCTTTAAATCATAAACGATAGACTTTGGATAAGCATAAGTGGACATTCTTTAACTCATGTGAGCTAGTATAGTTGTTTATGTAGGTGCGTGTACTTTTTAGGAACATCCCAGTGTGAATTATTTTATATTGTATCTAGGTACTGGATTATATCATCACTTATATGGCATTATTATTATTTGTCTTGATTATTTTCAAACTAGGTACCAATTATAAGCATACACATAGGTGGTGAGAAACAGGTGATGCATAGCATTGCTCGTAAGAAAATGGGAGTTTGGAGTTTGGGTCGTAGGACAACGTGGAAATTTAGGGTTTCGAAATGTGCACCAAAAGGATGGGGCTTTTTCAATCAAAGATATGAATTTTGGGGCTGTTGTGGGACTGTGAATAGTGATTCGGGAACAGTAACTATGCTGAATTTATGCAGAAAAGAAGGAAGAAAGAACAAGAAAAAGTCTAGGCTTCACACCTAGATTCCGGAGGCGTCATCTCTTCCTTCAAAATCCGGAACTTCTTTCTTATGGTGTAGACATATTGTGCATATGGGATTCCCACTTTGAAAGAACATCTTGGTGAAACCTTTAGCTTTGATACCAAAACTGATGCAGCACACACAGGTTTGAAGCAAGTTTAAGCTAATTTAGGGTTAGGTTTAGTGAAATAATACGTAGGGTTGTTTAGGGCTTGGTTGTGAAAGGATTGGGCTTAAGGAGAAAAGAATTTGGTGGCAAAATAGATACTGTTTATGGGCTGCAAATAGTACTTTGTGAACAGTAATAGAACTAAAAGGAAGAAGATGAAGAAAACTAGAAATCACTTCTAAAATCCCTCACGCACCACACGCAGGGTTTGGGTTGCATCACACAAACCCTAAAAAGGTTCAAATCTCTGGGAAATTATGTAAAAATCTGATCATTATTGAATAGAAGCAACACATAGCTTGATATAGAATTAGGAGACTTCCTTAATCAATTTGAACCAAAAAGGAATCTACTAAAGCCAAAAAGGAAACTATGAAATTATTTTGATTTGTAAAACTTATTTAAGACCTATAAATAAAAGTAATTAAATAACTTGACCCACAATACGACCCATGGTCAACCTGCCAACCCACATCCAAAAATTCTACAAATTACCATAATACCCCTAATTTTAAAAACATTTAAAAACTCTATAAAGCTGAACCAAAACGGAAAAAATCAAGTAAAACATAAATAGGGCTTAAAATGCTTCAAAATCATATTATGCAAGTTTCCATGTGGTTTTAGTCCTGAATGCGAGCCAAATTCCATGATTCCTTGCATCTTTGAATTTGCTTTTCCTTCAGTGTTATGGATTGCATCAGGTAGTCTTGCAGGCTAGGTGACACTCAGGCCACTCTTTGCTATACTTTTTTTGGTACAAGTGGCCCACATGTCTTGGATAATCCAGCGATTGCAGCCAGATTAGTTGGGTAACTGGATGGTGTCTCAGTCTTGATGTCGAAGGCTTTAAGTCCCTTTGTTGTTTCTTCTAGGCCTAAGCTAGAGTACTCTATTACCTCTGTTATGTATCCGTAGTATACTTGATTTCTTTTATGGTTTCCTGTTATTTTTTTTAAGGAATTGTTTTTCCTGATAAATTTGATGAAGTTTTGCTTTGTCAATTAGGATTTACAGATCTCTCTCTCTCTCTAAATACAGGTTGGAGTGATGGTGATGGTTCATGGGGACAATAAAGGCTTGGTACTGCCTCCAAAAGTAGCAGCTATCCAAGTTATTGTGATTCCGGTGCCTTACAAAGATGCTGATACTAAAGGGATCTTTGATGCCTGTGATGCAACTGTGAAAACATTGACTGAATCAGGTTTCCGTGCTGAAGCAGACTTCAGGGATAACTATTCACCTGGTTGGAAGTATTCACATTGGGAAATGAAAGGTGTTCCTCTAAGGATTGAAATAGGGCCAAAAGATCTTTCCAATAATCAGGTAAACAAATTTGTTGTCATACCTCCTCTATTCATTCAGTTTTTTAGTGGCTTCTGCTTGTCTCTCTATGGTATTAATTTCATTTACTTTTTTGTACTTGATCGTTTATTTTTGCTTTTATGTAGGTACGTGCTGTTCGCCGTGATAATTCAACTAAAATCGATATTCCGATGGCCAGTTTGGTTGAACAAGTAAAAGATATGCTAGCTAATATTCACCAAAGCCTGTTTGATGTCGCCAAACAAAAACGAGATACCTGCATTCAGGTTGCAAAAACTTGGGATGAGTTCATGGAAGCACTGAGCCATAAAAAAATGATATTGGCTCCTTGGTGTGATGAAGAGGTATGCTGTTTGTTTTTACAATGCTGTATGCACTCTATTTTGGTAATGAGACTTCTGATAGGCAACGTAGCCCATTAAATAAAATAAAATGGAAAAGAAGAAAATGGTTTTGATGGATGTTCATATGTAATCTTTAAACAGTTTTGTGGTGGCCGAATAAATGAAACTGAGTCATAGGCTGGCTGAGTACGAGTCGGCGGCCCATACTGAATCCATGGTCACAGACAAGTCGGCCATGTCAGGTCTAGTGAGGGCCAAAGCCGAGTAAAACCAGGTTAAAAGGGCCGTCAGAGCCGATTCTCCCATGGGCTATATAGAGGGCCCATGAATGAGGTCAAAGCCCAAGAGGAAGCAGTGGGCCCTTGGAAGGTCGCTGGGGAAACAATATAAAAGAAAGGAGAGGGAGAGGAAAGGGGGCATTATGTTCTTGGACAAGAGTATTCCTAAACCCATTACACCATAATTGGCACCATCTGTGGGAATACTCGAGTGCGTTCATGACAAACGTAATAGATGATCCTCCATTGGTGGCTGATGATGTTACACCAAGAACCATACTTGGTTCGGAGAACATCACCGCACGAAGAGCTTTGAACTTCGACCCAGTAACTTAGTCTTCACCTTCAACCTCAATGCAAGAAACCATGCAGACGATAATGGACCAGGCAAAACGAAATGAACGACAACTAGAAGAGATGGCGGCTAACAACGAACGATTATGTAAAGAACTAGCCCTGGAGTTAGCCAAATCTCAGTAGACCACACCGCATCACGAGTGAGGTCGGTCGCCGGAACAGAAGAAAGATAATCCACAATGTCGACACTGGAGACACGATAGTAGCACCGCCTCCGACTCATCAACCCAAGAACCTAGAAAAAAGGAGTGTATTGGCGCTTCCAGCTCATCTGAAGGGAGTTCATATGTGCGACACAGACAAGGAAAAGGTGACGGTTCAAACGGGGAAGATAGACATAATGCTTTCGCACGACGAATTGCAAGGGCCATCCTGTCTAAAAAATTCAAGGCACCGACGTTTACGTTGTATGATGGTAAATCAGATCCTACGGATCACATTCGCCATTACAAGCAGCCAATGACGTTGCACGCTGACGATGAGGTGCTTATGTGTCGCATGTTCCCAAGCAGCTTGGGTCCATTGGCAGTCCGGTGGTATTATAAACTCGAACTGACCTTGGTTAAAAGTTTTCATCAACTCCAAAAATCCTTCCGTGCGAGATGCATCACCAATGAGATTTAGCTTAAGTGAGCCGACTCACTCTGGGCGATGCAAATCAAGCCGGAAGAAACCCTCCGTGAGTATTCGGCGTGTTATTGGGAATGTTTCAACCTGGTTGACGATGCCTGCAATGATTCCATGGCCATCACTGCCTTCAAGATGGGTTTACACCCTGACAGTCCGCTTTGGAGCTTACTGACAAGGCGACCACCTAAAACTGTGTGGGCCTTAATGAAGAAGGTTGAGGAGTATTGTAAAGTGGAGTATGATGCCCTCCGCATCAAAGTAGGTCAGAAGGTCATGGAAACGGCGGCACCCACCCTGGTACAGCCGATAAGTGTAGTCCCGCCACAAAGAAGACCTGAGCCACGAAGCAGGCCAAAACGAGAAAGTCTCCCAGATAGCCGCCGATCGAGGGACCATCATCCATGCCGATCGAGCGAGCAATATCAGGTGGAGAGCAGGTGCCCCAGGCGGTCTGACAAGAAATTTACCGATGTTGATCGAGCCGATCAGCAAGATACTCCCCAAAGTTCAGCACCCTCATTTCTTTAAGTGGCCGACCAAGATGATTGGGCCCTCGACGCAAGACGAAGGGATTGGTGATGCGTCCACCACAAGGACCATGGACATGAAATCGACAGGTGCTATGCCTTGAAAGATCATCTTGAAGAGCTGGTGCAGGATGGCCGATTGGTTCAATTCCTCCCACGTAAGGTCAATGCACCCAACGCAGTAGCCCTGCACTCGGAGTCACCACCACTGGGAGTAATTCATATGATTTATAGTTTTCCATCGCCGAATAGCGTCTATGTGATTCAGTCTCAGCAATCTCAACCATACCCGTCCAAGCCGCTCACACCAGACAAACGGCCTTATCCGACTGGCAAGATTAGCTTCAACGACACAAATCTCGAAGGGTTGATCCTTCCTTATGATGACCCTCTCGTCATTGAGTTATGCGTCAACAAATTTATTGTTGAACGCATTCTGATTGACCAGGGGAGCACATCAGAGATAATGTACTACAAGACGTTTCTTAAACTCGGCTTCACAGCATTAGACCTCTTACCGGCAGAATACCCCTTGTTCGGCTTCGACACGAATCCCGAATACCCTCTGGGCAAGGTTAGGGTTGCAGTGCGTGCGGGCACTGGGACACTCGACGTGGAGTTTCTAGTTGTAAAATTTCCATCACCATACAACTTGATCATGGGGAGAACTTGGTTGCACGCAATGCAGGCCATACCAAGTACTTACCATCAGTTATTTCACTTCCCAACACAACATGGCATTGAGTAGATTCGCGACTCTCAGAAGTCGGCAAAGGAGTGCTACCTTACAGCTTCAGTCAAAAAGCTAAAGGAGATGGAAGTAAATTCAATCGAAATTTCGGACCGAGAAAGCCTCGAGGACGTTGGGAAACCTCCCGCCGATAAGGCCACCGAGGATCTTGATTGGATTGGACTTGCAAATGAACCAGATAAGTTCTTCCTGATCGACACACGTCTCAATGCCAATGACCGCCAAGAGTTGATTTCATTCCTAGTCGGCAATATTGATGTATTTGCCTGGACGCCTTACGAGATGTCGGGCGTAGATCCTAGTGTGGCACAACACCGTTTGAATGTAGACCTAAAGGCTAAGCCCGTCGTTCAGAAGAGCTGCCGATCGCAGCTGAAAATACTTTGGCTGTCGTTACCAAAGTCGACAAACTTCTAGAGGCTGGTGCAATCTGCGAAGTGAATTACCCCACCTGACTATCCAATATAGTTGTTGTTAGGAAGAAAAATAGATCTTGGCATATCTACATGGATTTCACGGACATGAATAAAGCCTGCCCCACGGATTGTTTCTCCAGAATCGACCAACTAGTCGACGCAACTGCCTATTATCAACGTATGAGCTTCCTGGACGCATACAGGGGTTATCACCCAATCGCCATGCATCCTGAAGACCAAGAAAAAACGACATTCCTCACCCTGAGGGGCACTTATTGTTATAAAGTCATGCCCTTGGGTCTGAAGAATGCCAGAGCAACTTACCAGAGGCTTGTCACTACCATGTTTAAAGAGCAATTCGGCCATACCATGGAAGTGTATATCGATGACATGGTGGTAAAGTCCAAAGAAAAGCATACCCACTTGGCCGACTTGTCCATAACCTTTGATATTCTCCAGAAATACAGGATGAAACTTAATTCCTCAAAGTGTACATTCGGCATTGGATCTGGTACATTCCTTGGCTATATTGTGAACCATCATGGAATTGAGGCCAACCCGAAGCAAGTTATGGCAATCATGGAACTCGGCTCACCTCAATTGGCCAAAGAAGTGCAGAAGTTAATGGGAATGGCCGCAGCTCGCAACAAATTCATCAGCCGTTCTTTAGACCGGTGTCAACCGTTTTTTCACACCCTCTGGCAAGGAAAGGCATTTCATTGGACCCTCGAATGCCAATTTGCCCTCAATGGATTGAAAGCTTATCTCTGTTCGATACCCGCTTTTAACAACTCCATCGCCGGATAACCCACTCATCCTGTATCTTGCGGTATCGGATCGGGCGGTCAGCGCCGTATTGTTGAAAGAAGAGCTAGGTGAGCAAAGGCTCATTTTCTATGTTAGCAAGGCAATGGTGGATGTCGAGACACGGTACCTATCGCCGAAAAAGATGATTCTGGCCCTTGTGGTGGCCGCCAGAAAGTTAATGCACTATTTCCAAGCCCATACAATAACTGTGCTGATGGACTATCCTCTCTGAATAGTACTTCGCAGCGCGGAATCATCAGGGCGTGTTTCGAAATGGGCTTTAGAACTCGGTCAGTATGACATCCAATTTTCTCCCAGGACGGCTATCAAAGGTCAGATTTTGGCTAGCTTCGTTGCCGAGTTAACTGGTTGTCATGTTGACTTTGAATCGGCACAACCAGCCTTCCAACCCCAACAGGAGTGGCGAATGTATGTTGGGGATATTTGGCAGATGAACTACGATGGTTCATCTAACCAACGTGGTAGCGGGGCGGGAGTTATGATTATGACCCCTGAGGGCGCAATAATTGAGCAAGCGGTAAAACTTGGTTTCGATGCATCAAATAACAAGGTTGAGTACGAGGCTTTGCTAGTCGGCCTCCGTAACGTGCTTCGCCTGGGCACCAAGTGATTATAAGTCTTCTGCGATTTAAAGCTGGTCATCAATCAATTGAAGGGGGAGTATGCAACTAAGAACGACCGAATGGTAACTTACGTAAAGACGGAAAATTCACTGCTCATACAGTTCGATTTCCACGAGCTAAATCAGATTACCCGCGATCAAAATACCCATGCTAATGCTCTCGCCTGCTTGGCTTCTGCCATAAATTCGGAAATCAAACGAAGCATTGAGATGGGATTCGTTCCCCAGCCAAGTATCAGCCACCTTGAATCCACCAGTGTCAATGTCATTGATTTGGGGCCGAGTTGGATGGACCCCATTGCCGCATTTTTATCCTCGAAACGGCTTCCAACAGATAAGAAAGAGGCCCATAAGCAACGAAACAAAGCCCTACGCTACTATTTGGATCCCAATGGAAAGCTCTACAAGAAGTCTCTCTTAGGGTCGTATTTGGAGTGTGTACATCCAGACCTAGTGGAGGATTTTTTAGCCGAGATACATGAGGGCAATTGCGGCGGCCATTCTGGAGGACGTTCATTGGCCTATTGAGCCATAACCCAGTGGTATTATTAGCCCACCATGCGAACTGATGTAGAGAATTACGTAAAGAAG